ACACTGAATCAGGAGTTGGATTTCACTGCATCTACACTGGACTTACACTTAGGTGTAAAGGCCTCCAAGTTTCTGCAGCAGATTCTTTTGTATCTGCCAGTAGAAGGGGAAAAAAGCTTACCTAAGTTAAACAATAAGTAGTTCAATCAGTGTGATGTTCCCATTGCTTTTTTTGTTTTGGACTTCTGGTGAAATCACACAATGATTCTGTGAGGCCGGGGTATCAACTGCTCAAAATCAGATCAAATATAACCTGTCTTAGTTTAAATTCATGCTGCTGATTCAAATATATTAAATCATCATTAATGGTTTATATTTGCTCTGGAAAGATTAATCTTTGATCAAGTATCCCCTGCTTCCATCACTCTAGGTTAGTGCTGGATCAGGCTGGATCATATCAGCCAACATGAAGCCTCCAGAGCAGCAGAGAGCCAACATCAACCCCACATTGTATGATCTAGTGACTCTGACAAAGTCTCTCTGTCTCAGTACTGCTGGGTACTGTCACACACCAGTCCAGCATTCCTGATCACAGAATCCGTGCCCGGGCTCCAAATCCACATCACAAGAAAAGCGGTGACAAACCTGCGCTCAGTCAGCTGCATTCCTGTCATCCTGGCATCCTTGTGGGCAGCACCCACACCCAACGATTCTCTCACAGACCATGGTCTGCACTACAGAAGCCCTCTCTCCCCAAACCCTCTCCCTCTGGCATTCCAGCCCGTTTCCTTCTGATTCTGTGTTCGTAATCTGAAGAGACACGTTACGTGAGAATTTATTCATGTGCAGTGTATTTGAAAGGTTGGGGGTTAACTGAGGCGCAGAGAGTTACGCACGTGAAAATACTGTAATTCTGTTTATCAGATCTGACACATTAACTGCTATTTGTGAAGTGCTCTTGCAACAGAGTACTGAACACCTCTGCTTATACACATCAATTAACTCCTCAGCGAAATGCAGCTATCTTCAGCGTGATAAAACAGCTACCCAAAACACTATTTTGTGCCTCAGCTATAATTTAACAGTATTTGTAAAGAAACAAACAGCGAAGCTGCAGGGAGTTGAGATACAGTTTTCATCCTATTTCCAGGCTCCCACTTTAAGGCAATCTGTTCTTCCAGAGCTAGAATTATCAGAGTTGAAATTCAATGCTTTGTTTAACAGATGACACTTCCTGCTACTTTCAATATGCTGGGTGGTTGCAACAGTTGATTTTTATAGTCACCTCACTGCCCATTCCTCGAGGCTCTCTAACCACTCACTAGTAAATGAACAAAAACTGAAGAAGCCGTTAGCTCAAACTGCCAAAGTTAAGAAAGAAATACCAGAAATGTCTGAGGAAAAGTTCAGAGCCCTGAAGTACTTTATCTGCAAAACCATCGAGAGAATTTGCTAGCTAGCTGGAGGTATGTGAACTACTTTTGAAACCACTTTGCTTTGTTGCTTACAATCCCCAATGATCTCTACTGCTTGTCTGAACTATCTGTCACTTCACTGCTCGCTGACAAACCTTAAAGGAGCTTTTTCCAAAGAATGTGACAGCAAACACATTGTCTTAATATGAAACAATATGGGAACAGTGTCGTTATTTTTCTAATATCAATAGGAGAAGAGATACAATCAACATTCACCCTTCTCAATTCTACTAGATGTTCAGAAGATTTGGGAAGTGGGCATTCCTTCTGAGATTTCCTTTCCGTTTTACCTCCAATAAGCACAGCAGGACAACTCACCCACTACACTCTTGCAGCTGTGTGGACTGTCAGCACAATGTCTGCTTAAATTAGGAGTTCAGAGTCAAGCTGTTGAGTGCAACGTGGTTTCCAGGAACTCATTATTTCATTTATCAGTACTGACATTGCCGAAGAATGCGCCAGTTTGAAAATAGAGCCAGAAGTAAGAAAACAAACAGGACCATTAACCCTGATTCAGTAAGAAATTCCCTGACTGAAGACACTTGTTATTTTATTTTCTGCAGCTGCCTCCTTCTCCTCATTGACCCTGTAGAGGTCCAGGTGCCATCAGTAGCTCGTCCAGATCTCCTCCAAAGTACTTACCATTTGTCACTATTACACACAGCAATATTCAGCACTTTGACTTAGCAGAATCTGATCTTATGCTTCTGTGAGCAGGTGAAAACATATAGAAACATCACAGAATGACCCCTCTCTACCAGCAGAAGATACCACCTGAGCTTTAACCTGTTCTCACTGTGAGGGCTTTTACACCTCACACACAGCCCTGCTGCAAGTGTCAAAATGTCACATGCTACTCATCTCTCTCAGTAAGAAATTCCCTTATGTTCTCTTCCACAAAATACTGCAAAACAGAGCAGCTGGAGAAAAGCTTTAGGACAGGGTAACTCGTGCTGAACAGTATTTGAACAGTCTGTGAAATGAAGATGATCATCAATATTGCATGACACACACAAAAAACTCCTTGAGGTATCATGGTGCACCCAGAGTGTTCTTATAATACAAGTGGTTACTATGCAAATAGAACAACCCGGTAAGAATGTGAGGGGGAATACTAGAATTAATTAATAAAAGTAAATGAATCATCTCCCAGTCTATAGGACTTGATTTTGGTGTTGAGGACCTACCAAACTGAGTGAAGTTTCACTTTTGAATTTGCTCAAGGGTAATCAAGAACATATATAAAGATCCCACAATCTGCAGCTATTTCTAGAGTTTTATTGCACTATTCCAGATTTTTTCAAGTTTAGCAGCTAAAACAAATTAGATATGTCATTCAACTGAAAAAAAAAAAGAAAAAAAAGATTAAATAAAGATCATCTGGCTTCTATTTACATGGAGTGACAGAGAACATCAGGAAAGAATCACCCATCTGAAATAATATACTGCCTAGAATATTTTTTATTGGGAAAACAGCTAGTGACTGATCCATGTAACAAAATGGCTATGATCCCTCAATATTTTTCACTTCCTATATTCCCATCCATCAGTGAAAAGAGCGGACAGAAGAACAGCTACCACCATAATTCAGCAACGTAATTCAGTTTGCAGTCTTCCTTCTTCCCCTTGTCCCATAAAGGGACAAAGTTGAAGAAAAATCAGGCCTAAGGTCTTCTGTGCAGCAGAAACCAAGGTGAGTTTTCAGTATGAAAACAAAGACTTCAGACTAGCTGATGTACATAGAGTACAACACGCATGCAGGCAGTTAAACATCTCGGTATCAGCTGAAGAGGAGGCAGAAGGAGAACACGTCGAATGACAGCGCGGCTCTTTTGGGCTCCTTAGGCACTGCCAGGCTAACGACAGCGAGGGAGAAGCAGCGTGCTTGCACGCAATCGGGAAAGCCAAGGGGCTGAACAGAGGAGCTGGAAGCCAGCTCTGCTCTTTTGCTTTCTGATGTCCATAATTAAGCCACTGCATTGTTTCTCCTCTTCTAGCTGCCAAACTCCACTGGAAAAGAAATGTCAGCCCATAGACTCAGCCATCCCGCACGGCCTGAGAAGACACCCTTGACATTTTATCAGGGCCACCTTCTTACTCTTTGGTTATTTTACCCTCCAGCAGCACAAAAGGACCTTGAAGTGAGAAGAAATTACATTGGCTGAGGGTTGCCTTTGTCAAGTGAAGACTTCTGACCAGTATTGGGTTCTTCTAAAAAGCCTATTTTCAGCCTCCATCAGTACAGCTACTACATCTTTGGATACTTTTTTGGGATAAGGACAGCCTGTGTGCCACCTCAGCAGTCAACTCTGGCTGACACAGAACGGTGGGACCACAGCCATACCCTGGGTCCTCCTTTGACTGTCAACTCTTGGCATCCACATTTGCTGCCAGCTCCCACAATCACATGTACTGAGTGTGACAAACATACAGTGAGTTTCTCCTCACACCTGCCTGCCTTCAGGCCCGTGTTTTATGCACTTTACTGAAAGATCTCTGCCAACTTCCTGATCCTCCAGGTCAGTTCCAGCTCCTCAGCCTGACCTGCGACCCCTCAGCCAGATCCACTGGATGCTGGGAGCCACAGAGAAGCTACAGCTCGGTGGATGCCTCACGACAGGGCCTTCCACTTAGTGAAGTCCTGTTAGAAGGCATTTTTCTCAGACTAGTTTCAAGGTCATCCCCCCCTGCCCCTGACATATAACCTCCCCAACCAAGGCTTACCTGTCACATAACCTGACGTGGTACCTCGTTTCTTGACCATCCTCCTCCAGGGAGGAGTGTTCAGTGACATTTCTGCTGTCTTTTTTTTCCCCACTCACACTTTATGTCAATACAGTTTGACCTTATTACCCCTAAACTACTTTACAATTTGCATTTTAACTTGAGTAAATCTATTAAGTCTATTTATTTACTTCCACTCTTACTTTCCTGCAGTGGAGATATTTGCCTGACCAGTAAATCACACTCATCACGTCAGGCTCCTTTAATTCCAAAGGGATTCCTTATTCTTTGCTGTCTGTTGCCATTTCGCGTGTAATTTAGAAACAGCAGGCAGCGATTGAACTCTCAGATCTCATTAATACCTACTAAGCCCTTCCAACAAGAAGCAGCAGACTGCGGAGTATTTCTTCAAGGTGATGGGCAAAGGTGCCAAAGTTGCCTTTAATTTATATTGCCACTGACACTTTTCAATCACATAGATTATTTTTATTTGCATGCTATACTTGTTCTGCTTTATATAATGTCTCCTCTCTGTGAAAGGATGCTGTGACAATCTAGCAGCAGCCTCTCACACTGTCCAGGTTTATTTTTCAATTCTGGGTTATGCCTGCCTTCAATAATTAACAGCTTCATAAATTATATCCACAAAGTACAACCCCTACTGAAAGTTTTAATGTATCATTAATCTTTGTAGCTAATTAAGCCTTTTGCATTAAGCCAAGAAGTCGTGAAATACATCAAGCACAGTTAGGTCAACAACCATTTAGCCAAGAAAGGAATTTGAATAAAAAAAAGAAGGACACTGCTGGAGTCCTTTCCATGTTTTAAGAAAAGTCTCAGCTCAACACTCAAACCGCTTACCTCTCCTTGCCAGACTGGGTTAACCGTATTACAGATGATCTTAGATCTCTTCTCCTGTCCATGATGAGGAAGTGCTGGGAAGATGCTGTGTTTTCCAGGTTGGATGGAAATCTTCAGATAAGGATCTGGATTGAAGAACATTCCTTTCTTCAGACCAAAAGCCTGGAAATCTGAAAGAAGGTAAATAACCTGATTATTTTTCACATTCCAGGTAGGCCTCTGGGATGTTAGGAGAAGCATACAGGAAAACTGGTAAGGAATTCAAATAATATGTCAGGAATAAGAAAAAACTCACTATGTTTCTTGTGAGGAAATGTAAAGCCAAACAATAACGATCTTGTGATTTAGGATTTACAAATGATTATATAATGAAATTGCAGATTTTAGAGCCTGATTGTGCAGAGTGATCTGGCTTCTAAATCAGTATTTATTCAACTTCATTGAAGCGCTCTGCTGATTTTTCCAAAGAGCTGAGCACTTGCTCAGCCTGACTCCAGTGGCAGAACTACTCTGAAAAAGACACCCATTCATTTAATCACATACACATGGCAGTTGGTACCCAGCATACATCACTTCTAGGTATCTATTTTCTCTTTCTCTCAATCTTAGCTTTTAGACCACTTTTTTCTACATGAGAAGTCATTTTACATTTTTTCTATGTTAAAAAGTTTTCTTCCCTGCACAGGTTAACTTTACCTGTAGTAACTTGGGAAAACTCTTGCCTATAATGTCCAAATTTTAAGCTGGGCTTTCTAAGCTGCAGAACTCCCAGGGAGTATAATATGAGTCATGCAGACAAAAAAATCCCCAGGCACTTATTTCAGAATTTACTCACATTGTTCTAAAGAAAGACACAAAGTCTATTCTGATTTGTCCCTGTGAAGCCAATGAAATCCAAACCAATCTACAGGTAAATCATTAATTTTGGCTAAACAGCTACAAATGAAAGCCTCTGGCCTTCTCTTATTTTTCAGATACATTTCTAAGTTTTCTTTGGAAAACAGAAGCACTTATTCCTATTAGCAAGTTCAGTAGCTAATTTATTTTCTACCAGTCTCTGCATGGAGATTCTCCCCCTCTGTTTAAAGCTTTATTTCTCATATGGCTATAAGCACTGAACTGCATTCTGGCTGCTCTCTCTTGCTGTACAGACAAAATACAAACCATGAGTCAAGATACCTTCCAAAACTGCTCAGATGTACACTTAAACATTAAATTTAAACACTTTTTTTTTTTCTTTTTGGCAGGTTTTGAAAACATTAATTTTCACAGACTTTTCATTACCTTCTGATTAAAAACCCAATTATTCTGGCAGGCTGCGGGAGATCATTTACCCTCCAGGCAGATATTTTGGATGAATCTGAAAATCACACACTTTCCACACCAACACCAGCAGTTTTTCCAGAAAACAGTTATATCAAGAACAGCGAGAAGATTCACCCAGTTGTATTTTCCTTCTTTAACATATGGTAATAGCCAACGCAATAAAATGTGCAAGTTAAAAAGAACCAGTGTCATTCGGGTTGGTTTTAATCATTTATTCCACCACACAAGTCACGTTGCAGATATTCAAAAGCTGTTGGACAGATGGTCCCCAAACAGACTGTATTTTAAGAATCTCATGACATTCTCTAACAATTAACAAAAATTAGGGGATATCTCTACTAATAGCCTATTTGAACGTACATTGCTGACAGTATGTACTGCTGTGGTCCTAGCAACAGTGCTGCACAAAGAAAATGACCTGGTTTAAACTGAGAACACTGATTTGGTTGGGTTTTTTTTGGTATGTACAGTATCTATGTAACCAGCACGTCTCTCATCTATCAGCCCTGCTGAAATCCTATATGGCAAACTCTTTTGCTTTGGAAGCTGAACTGTTAGAAATTCATTCCAGAAATAGAAACTAAGATCGCAAAAACACGCTGAATGACAAGGCCCAGCAGTGTAATGGTGTCAGGCTGCTAACGCAGGAGAGGAGAGAAAGACCTCTGGGATCTTATTTTCTTTCTCTCTGATGTTTCCTCAAAAGATTCTGAAACTGAAATATTTATTGCTGGATATGGTTCTGATTTTTTTTTTTTTTCTTCAAAGAGACCGTGCTATCTTTGGGTACCACTGTGCAAAGAAATGGTTTATTGACAGACAGAAAAGGAAATAACTAGCACTCAATTATGTATTCTTATGTATTATGTATCATAAAGAATATACATATTATGATGACCTACCAGCCTCCTTCCAGTTACGGGAATTAAGCACAGCCATGAAGGTGAAGGTACTCCTAACCTTAGCCAGTACCTAACTTTTGTATTTAGATGAGAAAAAAAATCATTTCGCTAAGCACACAACAGGAAATTTTATTTGTGTCATTTTCTTGCTTAAATTGCATAATACAACAGATTTTGTAAAAATGACAGTTAGAAACTTCAGTTTTTCATGTCCAAGGCACAGTAGGGATAGCATAAATAGCTTTCTCAAGGACAAATATCCCAGTTATACTTACAGATCTCACAATAAATTCTCAGCTCTGCGAAAAATAGAGCATCAAAAATACAAAAGCTCTGAAGAAAGCTACGTGGGCATCTGCAGATATCCAGAAGTCGTACATTTAATTTGAAGTGGAACTTATGGATGCTGTTACTTGTATCCAAAGGCTCAGGTACTTTCTTACCACTGCTCTAACATCCCAGCAGAAGAATCCCAGCTATTCTGCTTCCCTAAATGAAAATATTTCTCTCTTCTCTGTATTGTCTTCAGAAAAAGCTTCTGAAGATACTAAATATTGAAGTGATGGTTTAAGGTTAACTGAATTTAAATCTTTGGTAAAACCAATGAATTCCAGAAGGCTTGGGTGTGCCTTGCTGTACATTGTAGCTTTACAGCAGTGTATTTCTTGAAGGCATACAAGGAAATGCTACCAAGGTAACTCATCTATGCTTTGCAAAGGTCTATTTTCATGCAATTTCTTAAAAAGAAAGAGTTATTAATTACTCTATGTCAGTTTTGCATTTACTCAGAAATCACATTTCAGCATGAATGAGGTTATATAAATCTATCAGTTCAATAATGTCAAGCCATCTCTCATGAAAGATGACAGAAGGAAGGAATCCAGAGGGAGACACAGGCTCTTTCACTGCTGCACTTCCTGTAATTTGAAGTACATGCATCCTAATCCAGCTCACTGCATTGTACCAAAAGGGTTTACACTAACTGCTGCCCTCAAGTGAATTATCAATTTGTTCCAGCTCCAGGGCTTCCCTTCCATACACGCCGATCTCTGGGTGTCTGGATCAGACCTAGGGAAGTTTTGCTGTGGTTCACTTGCCATCCCCAAGGTGGGCCATCAACTTCCCCGTCTACCTCGTAAAGGACCATTCTGCAAATCCATTCTCCACACAACATCACAACCCGATAGCGACTGGATACCGATGGAGATTCTGTGTTTGTGGCAATCTGGAAACTCGTGTGTATTTATGGGCAAAACATGGAGCCAGGTGGGGATATCACTTTCAACAGACACAGCTCGAACACTCTGTTTTACCACGTCTGATTTTGCCTCAACACAAGTGACTAAGCTTTCAAAAGGTCAGGGGAAGAGGTATGATTTGGGTTTGCAAGTCACATTTTGTCATGCTCAGGAAGGAGATGCAACTGGTGATATGCAAGAGGTTAAATCAGATAATTAAAGTGGGTTTTTCCTACTCTCAGAAATCTACAGATCTATAGACAAACTCCATTTTCCTTTCAAAAAAGAATGTAAGAAAGAAAGAATTGGCTGGTGTAGTTGCACAAGGAGGTGTTTAAAGATCTGAGATTTAAAAAAAACCCAAAACAACTAAGTGGAGCAGATAAGCCAAAACATTTCTGTCACATGAGGCTCCCAGGCAAAATGTTAAAGACAGTGGGAAAGAGGAGAAAATTTTTCTAGCTGGGAATGATACAAGAGAAAATAAAAGGGATTCTCATTTGTGTAAGGAAGGGGCAGGAGAGGTATCAGGAAGAAAACAGGTCTATTAATAAATGGAGTGGAGAAATTAATTATTCAGAAATGGCTGAAAGACAGGCTACTTTTTAAATTGTCTTCATCAAGAGGGAAAACACAGAGAAGGTCTGAACAGCTAATGTGAACAGCTTAACACAGCCAAGGGGAGCTTTTATCCCTGCAGGCGATTAACCACTGGAGCAGGGCACCATCTCTTGGTATCCTCAGACCCAGACTATGTGCCTGTCTGTGAGATATGTCTGAGCCCAGCTCACACAACAAAGCTCCACACCATGGAGCAAGGTGGCCTGTGTTACATAGGATAACAGAGTAGCTGAAATCAAAACCTTTTGAGGCCTTTACATCTGTTAGTCTAGAGCACTTTGAAGGCACAGGTGTACTGGAGGTGGTGAAAAGTCACCTCACCTTTACTCTGATGAGTAAGAAAAAGTCAGGTGATTAGTAACTCAGGTTTATACAGAATCCATCCGGGCAAGTCAGCTTGAGTTGGGGAGGGCAGAAGAAGAGGCAAAAATATAGCAATATTCAGCAAACAAAATTTAGTGGCTAGAACTCCTTTTATAAAGTCACTCACTAGGATTTAAAAAAAAGGTTGGAAGATAAAGGGTATTATATATTCACATTCTGATCAAGCATTTCACAGTAGCTACTGTTGTCAAACTGACCCTTAGCAGACCTAGTACTGTTTTCAGTTGTCATTTATACTCTGACTTCCATAAAGTGACAACTGATGTTACCTGAATGTCTGGTCTGAAAGCCACACAAAAATAACTGACAACATTGCTCAGAGAGATGCGATGAGGATAAATGCCTGAACGTTTGTGAAATATTCAGATCTTCTGGTCATTTGTTCCACAAGAACACTTATAAATACAGACTGTGCAAACACACGAGGTATGTAAAATATTAAAAGCTTGAAAAAAAGGTATTTGATGCAATATGTAGCTAGGAGACATATCATGCAACCCTCATGATAACACTTTCTAAATATATCAGCCAACAGAATGGTTTAACAGGCTTTCAGCAAACGCATTATACCGCTGCTAAGCCATGAACCTCCAGTGAAGTGGTTGGTACGTCTCGGGAAGCTTAGCGCGTTTCTTCGTGCGAGAAAGCTCTGACACTTTCAGCCGCCTTATCACAAGTGTGACAGTCAGCGGCAGCGGCAAGAGAGTCACATCGGAAAGGAAATGCCAAGTGACTGCATAACTTTCCTTAATCCAGCTAAATTAGGCTTACAATATTTCTCTTGGTATTTTAAATAATGAAAGCTATAATAATACAGTCATCATATAAACGATTAAGAAGCTTAATCATGGGACGTTATCTTCTTTGAGATCAGTGTTGCTAATGAACTTACTAATCTGAACTAACCTTTCACAGGACCAACCTGCAGTCTCCAAAGAAGCAAATACGAAGAAAACAAACCTCTCCTACTGATGGGACACAAACTCTCAGCTATTTCTGTTCTCAAGAAGCTAGCGATCTCCTTTTGCCCTGAAGCATCAGTTTATACTTTTATTTTTATTACTTGTTTGACATTTTTATTCAATCCAGAAATCTTTTCTCAGGTTGGATTTTTCCCAAGTAAATACCCAATAAAACACTTTATCCCCAGCTTTTTGAAAGCAGCAGTTTCTGCGCGGTTCGTTTTCACACAGGGTCTCACTGGAGTGTCTAGGCAGCAGAGCAAGCAGTACAAGTCTGCTGAAATGGACTGATGTTGTTCAGCATTTCTTGGGATTTGGCCTATTTTGAGATTTTTCTCGCCCATTCTAATAATTTTTTTATTTTTAAGAATTGATATGGTAGAAGGCACAGCTCTTCTCACATTCTTTAGACAAACTGCTTAAGGCACGAGGGCTCTGTGTTGGTGCAGTGCCTGATGCAGTGGTCCCCAGTCAGAGTGATGGTCTCACACTTTCTTTTCTTTTTTAATTGCAGCTAAATCAAACATAATTTGGAAACCTAAAATTAAGTAATGACACTGAAGGTGACAGTATACCAAAATACAGATACTGAAAAGGACAAGCCTATATGAGGGGAAAGGTCTCATGACAACAGAGAGGTTATTGCTGCAGTAGTATTGCAAACAGAAAAGAATCTCAGTTCCTTTGCTTGATTTGCATTTTATTAGCTACCATAACAGATACAGGAAGGACAATAATTTTACTTTGAGAGAGACAATAACATGTTGTTGTTGTTGTTGACGACTAAGTAAGAAGGTAATAAATAAATCCTTGTGATGTGTTAATCTATTAATTTCAGAAAGACTGAAATTGAGCTATTTTGATACCAAAGATTTTTGATAAAATAATTGTGAGCTCAAAGCCTTTGAAATACCTGGATGCAACGATGCTGTTAATATGGAGGTGATATAAATGTAAATTAATTGCTTGTGAACCAATAGAATACGGTATCTCAACCATATTGCACGGTAAGGTCTTTGTATACTTCGAATCAAGCTGTAAATTAGATAGTGCCCACTGAGACAACATTATCTAGCAGTCTCACAAATTATTACACTTGACACCTCTTGGTCTACTAGGCCAAAGAATCTGATAGAATGAAAAAACATTACCAACTCTGGGCAACACTTTGTAAGATTATTTAACAATATGTCCTGGTTTTTGCTAGGATAGGGTTACACAATATTAAAAAAAATATTAACTCTACCTCTTTCTGTTGAGCTAAACCTGTGGTTTTATCAACTTAATGTGACTGGGTGGGTGTCCAGTGTCCAACCTGGCAAAAATAAGTGATGTGCTCAAAGAGTCCCATCTAATGTCAGTCTAACCTGCCATATAACCTATGTAACCTCTCAAGAATCACACTGGCCACCTAATTTGGAAAAGCACTGACTTGCATATTTAATATTAAAGAGATATGGAAGTCCTAGTTAACTTTAACACAACTTAGAGGGAAGCTTTAAATAAATCATATGACCAAAGCAATCATAACATGATGCTTGTCCGAGTGTAGGACTCCATACAGAAATGCCTACACTTGTAAAAATGTTGAACTAGGGTAACTTTTATTCTGTGTACCACTTCCTCAAAGAATTTCCAAGTCAAGTTCAAGATCTTTCTTTTTGTTTTCCAGGAGGTAAAAACCATGAAAACCGAATAGCAAGCATACAACTCCAAAATGAGAAACTTGCTCACAACTACTCTCTTTTGACAAATGGATTTTTTTCTACAGAAGTGATTTACAGATTTTTTTTAACCAAAGCCAAATCAAATGGTCCATAGCTGCATCATGGAACCATGTTAAGCCTTTAAACCTGCAGTGACATGACAAGTAATGAGGCTGAGCATTCTTCAGAAAATTTAGAGGAGTGGGAGCAGTCTTCTGGCTCAAAAAGCCTGAAAGTCGCTGTTGAGCAACACAGACAAGCTTGTGCACCACGGTGTATGGATCTGCCTCAGGTCTGGACGATGATGGTGGAACGTGCTCTCCAAGAAACAGAGGACTACCACAAATCACATTTTGCTCTGTAATTAAAGTCCATGCCTTTGATCTGGCTTTCCCTGACCTAGATACATAGCACCAGATTTAACTGTAAACAGGAAAACCTAATGTGTCCCCAAAACTCTGCTTGAACAAGACACTTCAGCACAGACGTAACTCTCGTTGAAGGAAGTGAGTAATAATCACAGATATTAATTCTCTGTCTCAGCATCACTTCTAGAGCATGTGTCCCCAAAACTCTGCTTGAATAAGACACTTCAGCACAGACATAACTCTCGTTGAAGGAAGAGAGTGAGTAATAATCATAGACATTAATTCTCTGTCTCAGCATCACTTCTAGAGCAATAGGCAAAAACCCCTACATAAATATATGCATACATCTACATACATACATATATACATGAAAGGTTTTAGTAACTTCAGTTTCCAACTGTTTGAGATTAAAACTTTCACATCAGCAGGTACATAAATATATGCATACATATACATACATACATACATATATACTTGAAAGGTTTTAGTAACTTCAGTTTCCCACTGTTTGAGATTAAAACTTTCACATCAGCAGCGACTCACCTGACAATGAAAAACTTATCAGTCTCCGACTTCCTTGTCCCTGGATTGAATCTTCATTGGTGATGCTTTTAAAAACCTGCTGGAAGAAAAAGAATGGTGAGAGAGTCTCCAGTAACTCCTGAACAGACAAACTGCTTAGTAACTGTCTTTTTTACAGATGCTTTGTTTTACAACTAAGAACCAATCAGATAACCATTAATCAAAACAATCTTTTGATCCAGGTAATAAAACCCACTAGTGGCCTAAGTCATCCCTTCCAGGATGCTTTTCCTTAGGAAAACAGAACAAAACAAAAATACTACTGTAATTTTAATATAGTAGTTCCTCACCTAAAAAGGAACTGCTTACTGAACAGGGGGTAAAACAGCACATAAGGATGGGGATGTGGCTCTCACCTCTAAAAACAACTTCTATCTTTGTAACATCTTATTACTAGCGTAGAAAATCTCGTTCCAGAAAGTTTACTGCATACATGTGTGAAAGACTTCCCAGAGCTTACTATGCAAAAATCAACTGTGAATTATGATAACAATAAGCACTAAGGGTGTTCTGGGGAAAATAAATAAATATATAAACATAAATAAACAAAAATCAATAGATGACCCTTTGTACTCCACAGATCAAGTTTTAAAGTCAGTTTTTGTTCAGTTAGTTTATTGTGGGCTGTTGTTCAAATTAGGACTCAGGCTGCAATCAGATCTGGGAAGCAACAACATCTTCAAGCCAGAGTCTGGGGCACCAGCAGGAACCCACCACCAGCAGTTTTCAGTGCTGTTTCCCTGAACAGAGCAGAGGAGATGCCATCAGGAGTCG